AAGCTGGAATTTATTGATGAATTTCTCTAATCCATACCAGCTCAAATATATCCATACACCACTAATGTTTGATTAAATGACCCACCTGATCCCACCTGGACCTCGAGGGTTTTGTCCCCTTCAGTCAGCTCCAGGTAGAATTCATTTAAATTGGCGCCAACTCTGCTTTTTAAGAATTCACAAATCCACTCAGAAACCAGTTCAGATGCCTCATCCAACCAGAAACCAGTTCAGATGCCTCATCCAACCAGAAACCAGTTTAGATGCCTCATCCAACCAGAAACCAGTCCAGATGCCTCATCCAATCATAAACCAGTTCAGATGCCTCATCCAATCAGAAACCAGTCCAGAAGCCTCATCCAATCAGAAACCAGTTCAGATGCCTCATCCAATCAGAAACCAGTTCAGATGATCTTGGAATCTGGAGTTGTTTGGGAACTTCATAAAACTGTCCAGACTTGTAAAAATCTAGTTTTTCTTCTCAGATCTTCTCGTTCTCATTGATCTACTGGTTCATCTAATAAAGTCAGGTGAAGAGAAACTTCCTGCTGCCCTCACTCAGGATCACCGAGAAGTTATAGTCCTCCATGTCAAGTTCAAAGACATCTAGAACCTTCAGCTGCACCTTCTGACAGAGGAACAGCTCAAACATCTGGTCCATCTGTCATCAAAGGTCTTTTTTTAAAGAAACCGTAAAAGCCTAGATTAAAGCTAAAAACTGGATTTTAGTTCGACTCTTTCGTATGAGAACCCTGAAGTGTAAACAGGAAGATGAACTGTTTGTGTTTTACCTGAAGAAGTAGGAGGAGCTTGTGGTTTTATCTCTAACGAGGCTGGTTTGTGTTTCTGTGGAGGAAAACAACAACAAAATATACTTTTTATAATTCTTCTACGTGATTTATGACACAAATCAACTAGTGATGTCTCCATAAGGAGGAGATTATTGTTGAACTTCTTCCTGACTCCACTCCGGCTCTCAACAGCTTCACTAACGGTCTTACTATAAACCCAACGGGCCAACATGGCGGCAGCGTGAGTCCATAACACCAACAGAAGCAGGGACTGAAGGACGTCATTAAAACTAATAACTTCACGGATAAGAGGAGCGATAAAAAGTCTGCAGGCAAACTAAACGCTCAACTCCCTCAAAGGATTCATCTAAAGGTGTCCGTCTGTGCTGGTTGGACTTCAAAGGTCAGAACCTGGAGTCAGATCGTCAGACGATGAGAATTACCGGATAGGCCTGTCACGATAACAAATTTCACTGGGCGATTAATTGTCTCAGAAATTATTGCAATAAACGATAATATTGTTTGAAATTTGATAATAATTAGTAATTATTATCTAATTTAAGAAAAAATGTTGGTTCATTTGTGTGTAGTGCCGTTTTTTCACCACCGGATGTCCTGTAAGACTGTTTGAACTGAAAGATGGATAGTGAGGGAGCGAGCAGCGTGTCTCTTTAAGAAAGATGTGAGGGAGGCCCCTTGACGTGACATGGGCTGTCTCTCCATCCTGTTTTTTGGTTCTCAAAATGGCGGACGCTCGGTGTGGTTTGAGCTCTTTAGTATTTTTCACACAAAGCTTTTAATTAAAGATCAGTAAACAAGTTCTCAACTTCTTTTTTCAGAGAAAAACAACTTTTAGATTTATATTCCACTTATCACCGAACCTGATCCTGTTGGAGAAACATGTTGCAGCTGCTGCGAGTCTTTATGAACAGGAAGGAAGTTAAATTAGTTAAAATAAAAGATTGTCAGATAAAAAGACTGGCTGAGCGGTCCCATAGTCCGCCTGCTACAATCATGACCAGGTCAACGCTTAACGAGGTTTTTTTAACGACACGTTTGTGTTTTTATGTCGCTCTTTTATGCAAACCTGAAAACTCACAAGGGACGAACGAGGTGACGAACCAAGCGCCTGTCCGGAAGATTTTAAGATTTTTTTAAAACATTTAAATTAAGCATTCAGGTAAGAAGAAAATTAGAGCAAAAGACAACGTGCGTCAGGTAAAAAAGACATTTACTAACATATCTTAATTTAATTAGGACACGCATATGAAAGATGTCCTGCCCCAAGTGGAGGAGTTCAAGTATCTTGGGGTCTTGTTCACAAATGAGGGAAAAATGGAGCGTGAGATCGATAGGTGGATAGGTGCAGCGTCTGCAGTGAAGCGGGCGCTGTACCGGTCTGTCGTGGTGAAGAGAGAGCT